CTAAATATCAAATACTGTGCTGCTGTATAAATATTGAACTGATTAAGTTTTGTCCATCCATAGGTTAACAGATTTTTACACCTGGGTCTATTTGGAACACTATACATAAATCACTTCTTTAACTAATAGAATACACCTTTCAAACTCAGTAATATATTTTGAAAATTTTCCATTAATCTACTCTGCACAATTTCTGTAGTCACACACAGTAATGCTGCAAGAAGACTGTATTTATCATACTTTCTAGCTTTGAAAAGAACCATTTAAGTTAACTCAAGCACTTTGCACTATTTTATAGACAGAAAAAACAGGATCATTTGAAATCACAGTAATTGTAAGATGACTGTGCATCATAGAACAGCCAAGAAAAGATATCTGGGTTAATATCAAACAAAACAAAGACTTGTAACAGCAGATTATCTACTTCTTGTTGGAAAAAAAACAAACAAACCCAAACACAAGCAGCATAACATAAACTACAGAAATCACTCACTTAGCCAGACAAAGAAAGGAATATCCAGACCTTAAAATTAAATAAATAATCATGTAAAGTGAAAATGTCAACAAAAAATATAGAAAACAAAAATATATCTAGGTTTTTATTCCAGAAAAATATAGTAAATAAAATAGTGGCCACAAGACCATGTATAATTGTTAGATCCCCACAGAGCTGAAAAAGCATCCCTTTCTCTGAAGAACCATTCTTATCAGGAGGGTGTTCCATGGAGGAGAAAAGACAATTGAAGCTAGAAAATGATGGATAGCAATGACCTTTCTATCTGTAAAACATGGGCATATTTTAGGTATTTAATCTTCAGAATTGGATTATTATTAATCAATTATTCATGACAATTTGAATCTATGGTAGATGTTTTTTGTTTTCTTAAATATCACATAGCTAAGGTTCTGCTTGAGAACTGGAAAAGAGATTAAATCCTCACAAGCAAATAGTGTTCAAGACTGGCATTTTATTCTCTCCTAAACATTCCCTTCCCTGCATAGCAACACACATTGAAGATAACCTAGTGCCCTCTGCAAAACTCCTGCCTAAATATTCTAAAATCCATCTTTATAGCCTTTTTTGCTCTAAGAGGGAAAAAAAAAATCCCATACCTCTTCCAGAGAACAAAGCAGAGCATTGTGGTAACACCGAGCAACAAAAACTGCTATGTCTTCATTCCTATAGCCACAGATTACCCTGCTGCATGTTTAACATGCACTCCTCCTCACGTGCCAACAGTGAGTGATAACAGAAGCAGAACCACTCCATTATGGGCCACCAGACCATACAATGAAAATAAGCAGAAGGTGCTTGAAGATATTTAAAATGCACTGCCAAGAAAGATAGCAGATGGAGTTATTCTAAAGCTCTTTTGAAAAGCAGAACCTCTACTGTCAGAAATAAAAAATATGTATGTGTCTCTGAAGGGAAAGGAACAGGTCTCAACATTAACTTGAAGAATATAATTCTTCAATTATTTCAGTACAGAAATAATTGTACTGAAAAATATATGTCTTCCAACTGGGGGAACCACTATGGAAAGACTCTCCTTTTCTCAGGTTCTAAAACTGAAGGGTATGGATAGCAGTTGCCACCTTGTGATGACTAAAGCCAATTTAACACACGTAAAGCCATCAAGGATTTGACACTTTTTTCTGCTCTCAAATACCCTGTTAAAAAATGAACACCTTACTCCTAGTCAAACTGAACTTCCCGATGTTATATTTAGTTCTCCCTTTGTCTTGATGTAGTTGGAGAACTGTCTTACCACAATTCTGTTTGTTGTGGCATGCTTCTTAGGGACTAGGCAAAGCCCCTCTTTATCCCCTTTGTTAACACCAAACAGATTGAATTCCAGGAGGTTTTCCACAATATGGCACGTTTTCAACTACTCCAGTCATTCCTGAGATATTTGTGGTTCTCTCCTGACCCTTCTCCAACTGAACAGTCTTCCAGTAACAGTTATGCAAGTGTATTAACAATTACTACAGAAAGGTAATACAACTGCTTCCTTTTCATGCAGCCCTTCATTGTTTATATGTCAATATACAGTAATCTTTTGGTTCTCAAACTCTCTTCAAAAACAATAAATACCTTGGTTGGCGCTTCCCGTAAGGTTAACCATTTACCCAGGATATGATGAACATTTCCATTAGTGAGGATGCTCCAAAGGAGGTGGAGGTGGGGAAAGGGCTAATCTGGAGGAAATCTCTGGAGGTTAAAAAAGGGAGCATGAAAAAAAGACTGAAAGGGCAAACAAAGGTGAACGTAAAACATCTTACTGTGGAAAACAGGGGCAGTGTTTTAGTTTATTGATGTTGCCTGGTAAACTGAGTTCACAAGTGCAAATGAGAAATCATACATAATGAAGTCATTACAGGGGCTCTAACACTGGACTTCGTTGTTAGCGTGCCAGTAAAACTGACTGATTAATCTAATTCCATATAACAGCAGGATAAAACAGCTGCAAACAAGGAAAACCTTGGAAATTAAATGTTGGAAACATTTATAAAGTAAAAGCTAATGCTAAGACAAATGGAGTATGTATCAACTGTGGGGATGGAAAACAATCTGTATGGGAAAAAAAGAAACTGAATCATTAGGATAGTGCTGAACAGTTGTGAAGTATGTGATGTCTAAAAAAATTTTTAGAAAGCATTTTAAAATACACTGCAATAATAAAAACACTGTTTATTTCTAACCTCAAACTTCTTCCAATATGCAGCAGTCTGCAAACTTTAGTTTGGTGGGGAAATAGAACTGGTTGATTCAAGACCATTCTGAGCTACAATACTTTTTTTTTTACATGAAATATCTAAGTAATGTTTGTTATAAGAAAGCTTATGTTTGCTCACTTGTTCTAGTTTTAAACTTGGCTACTAGGTATATTGAGTAGTAAAACTTCTGCAAACTACAAAATGTACAACTGAGTCAAGCACTGTTCCTCAAATTTTAAAAGGAGAACAAACTTCCCCATTCAAAAGCTCCCCCTCATCCCCCCCCAAAAAGAAAACCAAAAAGAAGCTGTTTTGATTTCATCATTTTATTTCTTCCATCTAGAAGACTTTAAGCTAAAAGTTACCTGAAGCAAGGAGAGGTTTGCATCATAACATCTAATCAAATATGACTCATAATAAAGCCTCTACTACACACTTATTAAGACAAAGTGTTACAGCTTTCAGCTAAACTTGCTTTTCACAAAGTCAGTGGTAAAGCTACTCTTGACTCCAGGATGAGAACAGTCATACACACTGGAACAGTACCTTTCACATCTACATTTTATCCTATCTTTCCCCTTTTCCTTTTTTTTTTTTAAATTCAGCTAACCCTCCCATCACAGAGATATAACTACATATAATCATCAAGTCACTTTACCAAGAGTTTCCACAGTCTGCTGCAATTTCTACTTTATGTTGAAAAAAAAAAAAATGTATGATTTCCTCACACTCCCCAGTGCAGCCACTGCAGTATGTCTTGATGGCAAACAGATTAGAGGATGTACAGAATCACCCTACAGTTCTTGGTCCTTTCCTCCATAGTTTAGGCATGCTGCTAACTGCTATGAAATGAATCTGCTTTCTTATGGGTTTGGAAACCAGGAAACTTCTAGGAAGAGGGAATGAGAAGGAGGCTATTCCAAAAGCAGAAGATGTTATACACACCTTTCCATATCCTCAACACAAGCACAAAGCAATTAATTGTCCAGGGACAGTTGGGTATAAAACAATACTCTTTTGGGACTAAGTAAACTCTCAAGCTGTGCAGGACAGTTCTCCCTGTTTGTAGCCCTTTAAGAATTATTTTAAATCATCAGATAAATATCTGACATGTTAAATTCAATTTTTTGTAAAGAATCTAGGTTACACATTAGAGGTGAAGTATTTACTGGGATTGATTATTCAGAAAAAAAAATAAATTATTAACTAAGATTAGAAAATAATTTCAAATGCTAACACAAAGTTCTGGAGAAGATGAATGTATAGATAAGACTAAAAAACAACTAAGCAAAATAACAGAACAAATGAAAAAACAACCTAAAAAATACCAGGGAACTGCAGCAAAAAATCACCAGTTTTGAAAACAGCAGGCTCAGAAATACTATTTTACCCCACTGTCAACAGTATAGTGTCCATTGTAAAGAGAGGCTAACCCTGAAATGTGTGATCAGATGATCACAAGAGAGCTGGAGCACCACTCTGCATTTAGTCCACTTTCTTTTTGAATACACCCAATAATTACAGAACAATTCCTCATGCTGCCCCTCCCTTGAGCAACTAACGTTCAAGCATTCACAGAATTTTAGAGCATTACAGAGCATTACCTCTGGCAGTTGACAGAAATATTTTTGCCTTAAGAGGGTGCAATGGATAGCTTATGATCTTCAGTCCAAGACAGGAAAATAGGAATAATCTTGCATACCTTTTTATGTTTTAAAGCATGCAGAATGTACACTAGGAATGTGGACCTGTCAAAACTAATTTAAAAACTCTACAGTTCCACAGCATAGGTCTAAAACCTTACCTTACAGCATTCCTCTAGTTTTTAAAATAACTACTTTAGGACTCAAAACTCTTAAAAATACTTACACCTGACCAATACTCAGTGCATCTGGAAGCAGCTGCTCTCAGGATATCTCTGCTGCTTATATATATGTATAACCTGGGAAATTAAGGGTGATTGACACCTAGCACAGCCGCACACGTGCAGTACTAACTGTTGTACTATTAATGATAAGAGAAGAATGTAACACTACGGCTTTAAAAGCTTAGATGCTACAGAGGTCTATAGCATACTGCACCACTCAAATCATACCTTCCTTTATACTTGTTGCTTATGCATGCTGACAGGAGTCAATCTGGGAAATAAATTCAGTAGATTCAGTGCATTACAGTTGCAACACAATTGCATTTGACACACATTTAACAGAGTCAACAGGCAGTATCCTGTTACACGGTGAAAGCAAGCCTCCACGGCAGCAATTTGTTCTGGAAATACTTACTTCTGATGAGGTCACCATCAGTGCGATTTCCCCAGATGGACTGCTCTTGTATCTCTGCTTGTATACTTTGATTACTGGAAGGCTGGTTTATGTCTTTATCTCCTGCCACAGTAGTCTCTTGGTCAGTTTTTCCTAAGTCAAAAGAAATTCCAAGATATTAGTTTCTACTGTATTTTTTCTCCATGTGAGCAAAAATAATTTTTAAAAGTCAAAAAGTACAATGGCATAAAAAAATAATTTGTCTTAGCATCTCCTTTTGTTTCCTTAGAATTAACTTCCAATAAATCTAGATCAATATAACTCCTCATTAAGAAAGACTTTTAGTCATATTGTATCCAATTGTGCAAAATAGTACTCAGCAGCTTCTGTAACAAATTATATTGGGGGGGAGAGGGGGGGATGGGTGGCTGCTTTCTAATTTAGTTACCTTCCACAAAATTTTAATATAAAAATTTGAATAACTTTGTCACACAAAAACCCATTTTTTTTACCCACATATGTGTGGGCTCTAGCATATAAAAGCCATAATAATTTCACAAAATTTTGTTCTCTATTTTTTATAATTAAACACATAATCAAAGACAAATACAGTGGAAACTTCAAAAGTGACTAGTACAAAAATTCAAAAAAATTATTATTACAAGTATCTATTTTTTGTTGAAAAAAAATAGTTTTAAAATGCCACTGCTGATTAAAAGTCAACATTTAGCCAATAATGAAAAGAAAAAATATTTCTTCTCTCTAATAAGATGCAGGGAAAATTCCATAGTAAGGTTATTTGAGGGATTCTTCAGCTTATTTCACAATGTAACAGATGTTTTGATAATGCTGCCAGTTATTACAAGCAGACCAGAATTTCCTCAAACCAAGGCAAGTAACAGTTCTCATCTTCACTGTCATTAATGTTTTAATAACCAAACCCACATACACAAATCTTTCTGTTCTTGATTGCTACAGAGATTTTTCCTACTGGCATTCAAGGAAATATTTTTGAATCTGGATTTACTTTGTTCATTATTCACAGCAACAGATTATCAGTTTATATTAATTACTCAAGGGATCTGTAAAACACTAAATATTTTCAGTCTCATGTATTTTCTTTTGAGTATACCCACAACATTTAACATTTACAGGAAGTCTAGATGAGCAACTGCTGAAGTTTGTTAGCTCTATTTATTTGTTTCAAATAAGAACACATTTATAAATCCCATATTACAGTTTCATATACTGTATCCTCTAGTAAAGCAATTATTCCAGTCCAGACACAGAAAAATCACTTTTTGTTACTGTGACATAGTTAAGGTTAGTTTCTTCATGTAACCCACAGCACTTTGATTTTAAATCCTAACTTTCTGCCTTTGTTATCCACCCTATTAAACTGAGGCACTGAACATCACTCAAAATAATATATGCCATCTTGTGCGTATAGTAGCATATGCCTTCAAGCACTGCTGCTCCCCTTCTATCAATTTCCACTTCTGAAATGTCTGACCTAGCTACCTCCATGGCACTTTGCTCTCAGTCCTCTCTCCCACCAACAACTTCCCAGTATTTCCTCAACCCCATCCTGAGAGAAACTGTTTCACTGGGATTGGTGTAGTTACTAAAATGAATGGGAAGATATTAACTTTAATGAATTTTGCCCCTTGCCCTGATGACTTACCTAGATACTCATCCTATTAACATTAACAAAAAAAAAACAAACAAAAAAAAACAAACTCACAAACCCCCCAAAAACATAAACAAACACCAAAAACAAAACAAACCCCAACAACCAAAAATCATCAAAACAAACAAAAAACAACAAACCAAAACACAGAGTTTTTCAACCCATTTGACAGACATCAGAAAAAAATTATTTCTGCCTGGTATCTATCAAATACAAAATGACTGTATTGAAGTATGATGATTTAGCCCATGCAGTTAAGTGTTAGGTGCAAATGTGTTTCAAAAGTGTTTCAAAAGTGCTCTGGAATTGACTGAATAAAAATAAGCAATGTCCTGACAGAGCTCCTGTAAAAACACCCTGCTTTCCACAAACACTCAGCCTAAATGAGCTATTTTAGGAGATTTTGCTCTTAAATTATTTTACTATAGGGATAGCACCAAAATTACAATATGTACCCAGCAGTGCTAGTACAGACCCAGTATAGTAGCTGTATATAATTCTCTTGTATAGGATATGACTTTGCAGAACCCTATTATTTCATGTAGTAAACAATGAACGGCTATGAGGAAACAATAATGTTAATATTATGGGGCCCTCAGTTCCCTAGATTACATTTTTATCTCAGAAATCTGAAGGAGTGCAGAATACAATCAGTCATCATTATTCATATGAATTTATTTTTGACCCCCCTGCTTGTGTTCAGTTCAGTATTTTTTTCACTTCTTTTTTCTCACTATCTGGGCTGTATGTATATTTTTCATGTCCACTTTTATTATTCTAGCCAGATATGGTAACTGGCCAGTCAAGACCATGTAAACAATAGTAGCAGTTAACAAGAAAAAAGAAGCACTATTAAAAAAGTTTAAAAGAAACAATGTTGCAATTTAACACCAAACCATTCTGATAGGACATTCAAAACAATTAACATTATTTATTTCTTCTTTAATCAATTGAATTCACATGAAGACTTCCTCGTAAATGTGCGTAACAGAAACCTACACCATTAAACATGTGTTTGGTGTCTTACCCTGCACTCCAGAGTTGTCCACTGGAGCAGCTCATGCTGATAGATGCTGCTCCACGGTGTGGTGAGTGCACCCTGGGTGGCAGGTCAGGACCATGCAGCCTGTCCTCCCTTCCCCAGCCCCAGCCGGACAAGGGGAGAAACTCATGGGTCAAGATATAGTTTAATAAGTGAAGAAAGGAGGAAGGAAAAGTAAAACAGGAGATGCAAAGGCAATCACTCACCATCTCCCACAAGCAGCCCAAGCTAGTCTAAGCAACGGCCACCTCCCCTAAAACGTCCTTCCCTGCTTTTATTGCTGAGCATGACACTCTATGGCATGGAATAGCCCTCTTTTCAGCCTGAGCCAGCTGCCTGGACTGTGTCCCCTCCCAGTCCCATGCCTACTCGCAGTCTAGTCACTGGAGAGAAAAGTGGGAAAAGAGAAAATCTCAACTGTGCAAGTGCTGCTCAGCAATAGCCAACCCACTGGTGTGCTATCAACCTTGTTGGAGTCACTGATCCCAAACACAGCACCACAGGGGTTGCTGTGAAGAAAATTAACCCCAGCACACCCAGACTTAGTTAAATGGGGCTGTAGAAATAGTAGGCCTTTGTAGATGATCTCTTTACTTGTGCATTTTTTCATAAATCACTTCTGGTGCATCAGACTACTGAAAACAGACACACATTGGTGTCTTGATTCAGTTGCTTTTCCTTGAATATGTACCATATGGCTCAGTTTTTGTACAAAGTGAATAAGGGAATTTATTGATTCCCTTATAACAAATAGTTGATAATGGTATTTTCTTTTTTTTAATATCAGAGGTCCCACTACAGCATGCCAATTACAACCAGTCACATATGAAGACTGCCTCGGGAACATTCCTGTCTTTTGTTGATGCCATTACTTTTATGTTAGGTACCTAAGAATTGTCACAACAGTAGTTTATGAAGAATCAACACAAAGACCTTACTCTGACAGAAATACTAATGACTGGATCTGGCCATAGAAAAGTGTGACTTTTTTTCCACTGCATCTTCAAGTAAATTTGTAGCACTTTTCTGTTTCAATCAAGCTTATCCTTAAGAATTCTTTCTGTAAGATTTCCTTAGTATTTTAGCTTCTGCTTCCTTTAGCACACCCTTCCACTCTCATGTGGCTAACCTCCAGTACTGACAGCCAAGAAAAAAAAAGAGATGCTCTTCTTAACAGTTCCAATAATGGAAAGAAAAGACTCATTATGTTCTGAGTCTGGCAGTGCTAAAGTATAAATCAAATCTCTCTTCAAAACCACAGCAAGTTACTCTAGGTCATGTCACAAAAGCAACACAGACTTCGTACCTACCACAGTCGAGCCCCAAACTAGCAACTTGTGTGGCTCTGTACTTCCCCTAAACTAACAGCAGTGCCAGGGCTGAAAAGCTTCTAGTCAAAAGCCCCAGGGAGTGACACAGAACACCCTGTGATTTATCCTGAAGGTAAGCATAGGCAGAAACTCTACTTGTCCAGAGACTAATGCAAGTTTAAGATTTAAATAGTAAGAGATATGACATGCTCACAAAGTATAGAATGGAGACAGCTAAAAGCCAAATCATTTCTATGATACAGACAACTGGTAAGCCACTTAGTGAAAAAAAAAAAATTAAAATTTTAATCACATCTCAAAATTACTGCTTCATTAAATAAGCGAATAAAGTGAATTACTGCTTTTTCTCTATGGAATTACTTAAGTATATATAAATAATTTTTATAGTACATACATTTACCATAATTTTGTTGTATTTATTTTTAAATTAAACAGCAATACAGATATTCCATAGAACAGAAACCTGTTTTCACCTCTGAGACTATTGTAATATTGACTGTTAACTTTTGTTCTAGTTTGGAGAATATGCCTCCAGTTACACATGCTTCTTTGCAACATGACAAATACATTCTGCGAGACTCCACCAACTGAATAATGTCAGCAATCTGGATTAGCAACAAGGCAACTATTACAACAGCCCTATCAAAAAGCAAACTTAAATAGTCAGAGCTGTCAAAGAAAGACCTATAAATATTAGGCAAAACAGGTATACAGGGAAATCTCCCCAGATTCCTTCCAATTCTGCCTCCTATGCCTTTGGGAAGTTGCTAATTCCTGAAATATTCTTACCCCACTGAATAATCTGTCTTCTCAGAGCTACATTTGTGTCCCTTTCTCTATAATGTAGAGCATATTAAGTGGAGATAAAACTAATACACAAAACTAATAGAAAATACAAAAAGATGGGTAATGGATGTATATTTGCAAGACACACCTTAAAGAGCTCAAGTCTTTGACAAATAATCAGCTTTTCCTCTCCAAGTCCTTGTCCATTTGCACACTCACACACCAGCTGCCCCCAGAGCCTCACCACATCTTCTTGCTCAGAAATGAGTATCTGTGTGTTGATACATGTGCAATTATGTATCAT